AGCGCCAAATAGCAAGTGCTCACGTTGGGGGTGGGGTGGCAGCTCTGCTGTAGTGCTGACCCGGAGTTGGCACGGGAGGTTTGATTTATCTGCGTTAAAGTTTCCTTCACGCAAGGTTTCACAGCTTGCGCTGTCCTTCATGTCCCTCTGCCAGAGGTTATCAGCACGACAAATTTCAAAATATGGCACAAGAAGGCTCAGAATCTAATGTGTATGTATGGCTTACCCCTGCTCTTGGTGGGAAGGCAGGGCATGTGCTTTAGAGGTTTGTGTGTTTTTTTTTTTTTTTTAACAACTATCTGAATTTCCAGCATACATCTGCAGGCAATATAAAGCACTTGTGGCTTAAGCACTCACTTTGGTTTCCCAGCTGTTAGTGATGACCTCAGAAGCAAAAACACATTGACAAAAAGGACTGTGTGCCTATGCTGGGCCTCAGCCTCTTCATAGCTTAAATTCCGCTTGTGCTGTCAGTTGAAGATGGTGGCCATGCATTGAGATAATATTAATCCATACTGGAATGCAGACAGTAGTAGTTATTGTACTGATATGATCTGTCATTATGAAACTTTTTTCTCAGATGTATATATTCAAGAGTATTCTCAAAGCTGGCTGTTGTTAGCACTGCAACCCAAAGATAGCCAGAGGTGAGTCAGGGGACTCCTTTCATTTTTATCAAGGATATTTCTGCAGTGTGGACACCATGATTTTGCAAATAAACTTTTACAAAGTTCAGATAGTTTGAAGTAGAAATATTTTTTTCTAAAAAACATTCAGCTGTACAATGCCATGCTTAATCACTGAATATAATATAACTTCTAATGTTCCTTCCATATCAGCTGTATCTTTGGCAGTTAAACTTATTTGCTCCTACACAATTGGTAAACTGTCAGTTTTCTCTCCATAAATAACATGTTTTGTTTTCCCCACAGACATATAGCCAAGGTATTGAATTAGCCTGCCAAAAAGAAAAACATTTTGTGAAGCACTCTGTAGAATGCACATGGAATCTAGCAGAAGCCCAGCAAAAACTTGGTAGTTTAGCACTGCATAATTCAGAATCTGTGGATCAGGAATATGCCCAAGCAAAGACTGAAGCTTCAGAGTTAAGATGGAGAGAGGAAGAGTGGAGAAGAAAAGAAGAAGCGCTAAACCAGAGGGAAGGACAGACTCTATGGAACACAGATCCTGTTAGTAAGGAGGTATTTAATAAGGTATGACCCATATCAGTAGGCAGGAAAACAAATATTAGCCTCATTTTTCATTTCACTTTATTTAATAATCTTGAATGTCTTCTGTGTCTGGTACTGTGCTTAATCACAGGGCTATGTTAAATGGGTATTTTTTCTTATTTTGTTCCATGAATGGGAGCAAGCTGCATTAATTTTACAGATCTGGATGATATTTCTTCACTTGAAGTGGGGATCAGAGCTTGCATTGCTTGTGTATAGCAACTGTTGCCAAAGTGAGGCTGAACAATAGTTTCTTCACATAACCAGTGTACTTTTCAATTGTGCCAAATTCTCAAACACGAAACAGACCTACAGTTTGCCTCTAAAAACCTGACTGCTATAATACAGCATATTTAGCATAAATTCTCTTCTGAGTAGAATCCCAGCTTTGTTTTTGGTTTAATTTGAATTTGAGCAGTTAGCACATCTTTTCTCATAATTCACTGATACAGCTGCATAAAGGCTGCCATGTAGATGACTTTCATTATTCACAGATCACCAAGTTCTCACCTGAAGGCAAAACTCTGTGTTTCTTGCTCAGTAGAATGTAATAAGAGTTTTTAGCTCTATTATCGGCTACTGTACCTTTTCGGGGCGGGGGGGGAGAGGAGGGAACTTTTCAGGTATATGACATGGCCCTAAACTTACAACACTGCTCTTCAAATAGTAATGTAATAAAACATACTTTTTTTGATACAAAGGAATATTATGTGTGGAGATTCAGTGATAATCATAATTTTCTTCTTCCTTAGAGTTTTATTAATCAAAAAAGAAAAGAAGTAGAAGATGAAGATGCATCTGAATCATTTATGCAGAAACATGAACAAAAGATGAAACACTTTGGTGAGTGCCCTACTTTCAGTGTTTTTCAGTTTAACCTTCTACAGAATTTGTGTAGGTTTGCTACACAATGGATGCTAGCAGATTAAACATCTGGCTGTCAGACTGTCCAGCTGCTATTTTATCAAATCAGGACAGACAATCATTTTAAAGTGAAACACAGCATAAACTACAGAAGTCTGTTAGTACCTATGAGCAGTAAGAACTTAACATTTTTTTAAAAGAAAATCCAATATTCAAATGAGCTTAACCCCTGAAAACTAAAGTTCCAGCAACTTTTTCTGCTGTTCAGTGGGAAAGGGCAGAGACGTCCCTGGAAATAGAAGTTCTGTGTATAAAAGTGCTTGGGATTGTCTGTAGCTGTCTCCTTCTAATATATATTTTTCTGGTAGATGTTAAGCTATAAGGGGAATGACTGATTAAAGGTAGAAGTCTGTAAGCAACTATTAAAGAGTAGGCATGCAGGAAATTGAGCATGTCTTAAAATTATATTTAACTATCCACTAGGTGTCACTTTACCTCTATCATAGTAGTAAAAACAAATGGAGCAGAACTTTACAAGAGCTGATCTTGTAAAGGAATCTGAAATTTTGATGGTTCTGTTCGTTGCTTTCCATTTTTTGGTTCCAGTCATTGGTGTAGTATAGCCATGTTAAGAATCCCAGAGCAATCAAGAACAGGACTGACCTGGCAAAAGCTCCTTGTACAACCACTTTTTAGTAAGCTACTTGGCTTCTAGAGATCTTAAACTGTTTTAAAGCAAAGGTTTCTGGCCCTGAGGGCTTAAAGCAAGTCTTGCAAACAGCAAGTGAGGCACAGCGCTGTCAGAGTACGCAAACAGCAGTGACAGGCACGCATTCTCTCAAATGTCTTAACTGTGAAGTGTAATGACAGAGTAATTGGAAGGCATCTACTGTGTTGTACATTTCAGCAGAAAAATTGGGCTTCCTAACTAAGAATTGGGCAAAATTACCTTGCTGTCTACATTGAGATTAAACTGTTAACAAAAACGACCCTGTTACAGGAAGTTGGTTTGGTTTTTTTTTTGTTTTTTTTTTTAACTTCTGAAATTCAAAGCCATGCTGTTCTACCTCCATTGTAAAAAGAATAGTACATTAATGATCTTAATGTCTGCTGCCAAGGGACAGTGTAGACTTTGCTACCTGTAGAGCCCTAGTTCCATTTCTGTATCCTACCCTGGCTTTCAAGCAGTAAAGCACTCATGCAGAGTCTCTCTGACAAAACAGCCAAAAGAAAGATTAGCTGGTGCTTTCTCTTTGGGTATTTGTTTCCTAGAAATTAAGATCAGCTTAGGTCATTACCACTGAATTATCTTTATCCCAGTTATAATTATACACTGATAGAAGGGTAAAGCTACTTGTTGCCAGTAAGTGACTTGACTGTTCTAATATCACTGACGTTCATACGTATACACGAGAGAATTTTAAAAAGCTGTCTGTCTCTATGTTGAGTTCTTATTTTTAATCTTCAGCTCTTTGCATGAACGTAGCTTCATGCTATTACAATTCAGTGTTCTATTTAACTTTCAAATACTGACATAACTTTGCTCTCTTCACCTGAAATTTTTAGGAAATTTGAATTTAGTTACAGAAATAATTTAGCAAACCATATATGTTTAGAAACACTTTCGTTTCCAGCTAATTACACGTTATTCTCTTCATGGTTTTTTTTGCAAACTCTTAGTAGTTTTGTCCTAGTCAGTATCACTGAATGTAAATTTCTATCTATAAACTTTGTGAACTGTTTGAAGGTATAACTCATAAATACCTATAACACTTTGTGTATGAGAACTGTTTAAAAATAACAGTTATTTTCAGCACTGCTAGAGATGCATTAACATATTCTTAGTTGTTACCGTTAAGATTTACCTTTAATATCTTTAAGGTCTGATTATGCCTTTTGGAAATGTTCTTTCAGTGTTAGTTAGATGTCTAAATAAAAACTAAATTTAATTGCATGCTGTTATATTCAGGTTAGTGAATTTGAAAGGTGATTTCTGTGGCAGTACCTCAGTGCAAGTGACTTCTTCGCGGCATTAAATCACTTATCCATTTGGAATATCTTAATCTATGTTTCTCTTACTAGGTATGCTGAGCAGATGGGATGACAGTCAAAGATTTTTGTCCGACCACCCGTATCTTGTATGTGAAGAAACATCTAAATATCTCATGTTATGGTGTTTTCATCTAGAAGCTGAACAGGTATGAAGATGATCAAAAATCTATCAGTGTACTTGCTGTAGAAAGATATTGACTGAAAATATACAGCAAATATACTTGCACTAAAGAAAAGCTGGCCAACTTTATTAGCTGTTCAACTATTCTTCCTGTCCTTTCACTACCTTATTACCTTAGTAAAGAAAATCTCCATACTGCATCGCTGTATTAGGACTAATTAACTAGCTAATTAACTGTCCTTTTACTTCTGTGAGCATCAGTGCTTACCTCTTTAGGAACCAAACAAAAAGGAAATTATGCTGAATTTTAGATATATAATTACGGGAGATAACTTTAATCTTTCTAATGTCTTTTTTTCTTTCTCCTCTCAGAAAAGAGCTCTGATGGAACAAGTAGCACACCAAGCAGTTGTAATGCAGTTTATTATAGAAATTGCCAAAAGTTGTAATGTAGATCCAAGAGGCTGTTTTCGCCTTTTTTTCCAAAAAGCTAAAGTAAGTAATTTTCTGCAATGATGGGAGAAACTCATGATTCTGTGCAAGGAGCAGTGTTTAAAGGAGGCTTTCTCCTTACAATAACAAGCTAAATATTTTACTGACTCACTCAGGCTTATGGGGAATGTTTTGTTAGCAGTTCTTTCTAGAAAGACTATTTCGGTGTAATTCCAGTCCTGAAAATGGATGTTTAGTGGATTTTGCTTTCCCACTAAGATAAACCAAATATAGCATGGCAGCAACAGATGTGTTAGAGATGTAATAGCTGAATAGCAGCAGAAAACATGGGTCAGTTTAAGGACTGTTTTGACTAATTAGCCACTCTGTTTTCACAGCTGACCTATATATTTCATCTGCATTTCACAGTGGGGCCCAAAACATTGTCCCTTTCTCTTACTCAACAGAGCAATCCAGAGCTGTGCAGGAGAAATGTGGGAAGACTAAAATTGTGGTTTGCTTAAACTGCAGTCGGTTATTCAAGACTCTGACAGGCCTTAAAACTGCATAAAGGAGTTCAGTTAAAGTGGGAGTCAAACAGTGCTTTGCTTCTGAACAGAGTGCTACAATGAGCACCTGTTCTTCTATGGGTACTGGCCCTTGAGTTGCAATAAAGGAATAGCTAAAATTAGATGTGTTTGTTTTTTCACGTGTCCTCAGATGAATGAGTGACTTTGCTTCTACGCACAAATAGTAAAGACTGTCTTTAAAAGCAATCTCACCTAAATTTTCCATTTAAGTTGACTAACGTTATTGTTCAGATGTTCACAATATTATCCTCCATAGAGTATAACATGCATCACTAAACGATTTTTTTTTTGCAGCGTGTATGCTTACAAGCGAAAAGTAAACGTGACTGCAGTGAAAATATTTTTTTTTTTCTTGGCAGACCGGAGAAGGCTATTTTCAAGCTTTTAAAAGTGAACTTGAATCATTCAAAGCAAGAGTGAGAATTTGGTCACAATCACATGGCTTTCAGACTACGTTACTACAGGATCCCAGTGTCTGTCCTGGTTTTGTAGGAGAGCTCATGTCTTTGTCACAGGTAGGCTTACTATTTTTAGAAATTTATTTAATTAAAATAGGGTTAGAGTCTGCCTTGGAAATCTCTTATCTTCTGACATTTAAAGAAGATTATATCTAGAACTGCTACTGCTCAGGGTATAATGTCTGGTATTTTCAGTATGCAAGGCAGATAAAGGCGTGCTTTCCGCTTCCTGGAATTTAGAAAGCATCAGCATAAGGTCAAAAGCTTATGTTGGTTCAGTGCCCTTGAATACTTTAAAATGCTTCAAAAAAGTTAAAAAAAAAAAACAAAAAACAAAAAAACAAAAAAAAGGCATCCTAAAGCTAAGCTGATCAAATGCTAGAATTATATATACACACTATTTATCACAAGCAGTGAAATAAGATTTCAGTTTAAAATTACTAATTCTATTCATGGAATCCTACAGGTAAGTCAAGTCCAAGGACTTCTGTTATGATAGAAGCAAATTTAGGGGTCTTTTTTCAGCATTAATGATGGTCAAATCTTCACAGAATGGTTGAGGTTGGAAGGGACCTCTGGAGATCATCTAGTCCAAGCCCCCTGCTCAAGCAGGGTCCTCTAGAGCACATTGCACACAATCACGCCCAGGCAGGTTTGGAATATCTCCAGGGAAGGAGACTCCACCAGCTCTCTAGGCAACCTGTTCCAGTGCTCCGTCACCCTCACAGGAAAGAAGTTTTTCCTCACGTTCAGATGGGCCTTTCCGTGTTTCACTTTGTGCCTGTTGCCTCTTGTCCTATCGCTGGGCGCCACGGAGAAGAGTCTGGCCCCATCCTCTTGACGCCCTCCCTTCAGATATTTGTATACATTGATGAGATCCCCCCTCGGTCTTCTCTTCTCCAGGCTGAACCCCCAGCTCTCTCAGCCTCTCCTCATAGGAGAGATGCTCCAGTCCCTTTGTCATTTTAGTAGCCCTTTGCTGGACTTGCTTCAGGAGCTCCACGTCTCTCTTGTCCTGGGGAGCCCAGAACTGGACACTGTACTCCAGGTGCGGCCTCAGCAGGGCTGAGGAGAGGAGGGAGGATCACCTCCCTCCCCCTGCTGGCAGCACTCTGCCTAATGCAGCCCAGGATCCCATTGGCCTTCTTGGCCACAAGGGCACACTGCTGGCTCAGGGTCAACTTGTTGTCCAGCAGGACACCCAGGTCCTTCTCCGCAGAGCTGCTTGCCAGCAGGTCAGCCCCCAGCCTGTCCTGGTGCATGGGGTTATTCCTCCC